GCAGCTCCTCCCACCAATCGCATCCCGCCTGCCCAACTCAGGTCCCGCCCCGGCTCCCACCCTCGGTTTCGAGTCCTAAGGAAAGGGGGAGAAGGCCGCCGTCGTCGCAGGGGCGCCCCCTCAAGTCAGGGCCGGGGAGGGACGACTGTTCCCTCTCCCCTCATGCAGCTCGTAAGGCACTGGGTCATCTTGTTTTGATGCCCTGGGACGCGATGACCCAGATGCTCTGGGGACACCCTCCCCCAGTTTGTGTGTTGGTGAGTGAGGGGCAGCGTGGACAGCAAGTGCCCTCAGCGGGCGCCCGTGGCCGAACTGGTTGAGCTGCTGGGCCTCTTCCCTCTAGGCCTCCCCTTCCCGACAAGGCCACTGTGCGGCCAATGCCTGCTTGCTCCCCCTGGAAGGGGGAGTAGGGGGGACGGGGGAGGGCCTTCCTTCAGGTCATTTTCAGCACCCCCAGGCCCTGGCTCTGAGGGCAGCAAGACCCTCACATGTACCTGAACCCGCCCGTTTGCTGGCCTGACTCCCCACAGCTGAGGTGCCTGGGTTCTGACCACCCAGCAGCAGCCCCTGTCGAGGGCTCTGTTCCCACCCCCACCTGACAGCACCCTGATGCCACACTTGGGTTAGTGATGCCTGGCTGTCCCTTGGGGAAACTGTGAGTGCAATTGGTTAGTCTCCCCAGGGTCGGACCGGCTTGGCCTAACCTGCAGCCAGGGTGCTTTCACCCAGCTGCAAGCACTTAGGCTGGGCCTGCCCACTTCTCTGTGGGTCTGTTTCCTTTACAGCCTTTTGCCCGGGATTTGGGCTCAGCCCGACCCAAAGGTCCTCAGCCTTGTCTGCTTTGGGCCTGTCCCATCTGCTATATAGAACTGTGCCCCCCCCCAACCCCACACCCCCTTAGAGTCTGCTCTCTGTGGCTCCCCCAGAGCAGGGGTCTTCTGGCTTCTTAAAGGGGAGCTTGGAAGGCCAGCATGGCTCTAAGGAGGATGGCTCTAAGGAGGAGAGAAACCTCTGCCTACTGATTTAGCATAAGACTGGTAATCACTCTGGAGTCTTCTCCTGTCTCCTCAGACTTGTGGGCAACCCTTGGAGGAGGCCCCAGGACCAGGGCTGGTGCTGATATGTTTGCATTCATTCCAGACAGGCATCCCAGAATCCCCTTGGGCTGCAGCTCTAGCCACTGGAGACAAAAGCTTTTCTTAGCTGCCTTGCAGCCCACTCCCTGCCCACCTCCTGAAGGCCAGCCTTCTGGCTTTGTCTTGGTTCCCTAGTGCTTTCCCACCACACACTCAGACCCCCACCCTGGCTCAGCACTTAATGTGCCCTTCCTCACCAGGGTCTCTCCTGTCTCCCAGCAGAGATCTGATCTTTATTTCTTCACAATCCTAACTGACCCCTCCAGCCTCTCATTCTCCCACAGTTGCAGAAAATGTTCCCTCTTTTCAACTCCCGTAATTGCCCCCACTTCCTCCTACAAGGCCTTCTGAGTCAGCCTTTATCTGACACCCAAGAAACAGCTGGCTCACCGGTAGTTAAGGACAAGCCCCAAGGCAACTGAGTTGTGCTGGCAGAAACGCCAGGCACGTGAATCTGGGTAGCACGTGGGCCCTCCCAGCTCTGCTCCCAGGAGTCCCTCATTGACGTAAGGCCTATTGCTACTGTCTTGTAGGGCAGGATCTTCTGTGCCATGCCCACAGATGTCACCTCCTCCTGTGTGCGGTGCCCCCCTCCAGGCCCAATGCTGACTGCCTGGGGTCCTCTTAATCAGAATGAGGAACAACCCCTCCTCACTCTTCACCACTCACTCTGCTACCCCCCCTCTAGTGCGCCCCTCCCTGCTGCTGTTATCCTCCTTAAATCTCAAACTCCCATCCCTGGGAACCCACCCTCAGACCTCCACCAAGGTCTTTGTCAAGGCCTCTGAAATCTATCCCCTCCAAGAAGATTTGGGGATTGATGTTTCCGAGCCTTGGCTGCTGCATAACTTGGTTAATGCTGGCCTCTTGGGCCCCAGCCTAAGACAGCCAAGATGGATAAGGATAGAATTTTCAAGGATAGACGAAATAATCCACATATCCTTCAAGAGTGACAGCATTTCTGGTAAATACATGGCAGAGACATTAGAGTGAGATGGAGCCATGCTAGGTTTTCTTCAGGGTGAAGGCCAAGGGGGACAACCACAGTGATACCAAAAAGATGGCCTGAAGGAGGTGGGCTTGACAGAGGGCAGGGACTTGATGGCCGCGTCTTCCAGTTACTCTTCTGGTTGGGTGATGCTTAGAGCCTGTATGACATGACTGATTCATCTGTATCCCTGTCTGTATGTTGCTGCTTCTCTGTCCATTTGCCATATGCTTCTCTGGGACAGTGCTGGCTCTATTGTTGTTGGTCTCATTGAGTTGATTTAGAGTCACGTCAACCCTGTGTACAACAGAAGGAAATACTGCCCAGTTCTGTGCCATCCTCACAATTGTTCTTATGTTTGAGCCCATTGTTGCAGCCACCATGTCAATCCATCTCATCACGGGTCTTCCTCTTTTTCGCTACCCTGCTATTTTACCAAACATGATGTCCTCTCTAGAGACTGGTCTCACCTGACAATATATCCAAAGTGTGTGAGACAATGTCTCACCATCCTTGCCTCTAAGGAGCATTCTGGCCATACTTCTTCCAAGACAGATCTGTTGGGGGGTTTTTTTTGGCAGTCCATGGTACTTTCAAGATTCTCTGCCAGCATCATAATTCAAATGCATTGATTCTTCTTCAGTTTTCCTTATTCAGCACCCAACTTTCACATGCTCAGGAGGCTGGTTCAATTAGATTCCCTTCTATGGGGAGCTCCCTAAGGCCAAAGATGTCTCCTTGTCTCTCTGTCATCTGTCATGTTCTCAGAGCAGTGCTTTGTGGAGGCAGATGCTTCTTCCTGAAAGATCTTTAAGGCAAGAGTTGTAGGGCTAGATCAAGGACTGGAAGACCTAGTCAAGGTTGTAACCAATCTCACTTCAGAGATGGACCCTTACGAACCCACGGGGGGGAGATGCATCCAACTCGAAGGGAACCATCTTTAATCTATGCTGCTCGCATTCTTCCTCTCTCCCTCTCTGAATCTAGGAGGTCCCTGGGTGATACAAACTGTTCCCATTCAACTACTAACTGTGGGTCCAAAGTTCAAGCCCACCCAATGTCTCCAAGGAGTAAAGTCCTGGTGATCTGCTTCGGTCAAGACCTAAAAATGAACAAAGAAACAAACAAACAGCTGCCTGTCAAATTGGTTCTGACAAACTCAGCCAAGCTTAGAATTACACATGTTTCATATCAGCATTGTTAAAAGGAAAAACAAAGAAGAAGAAACATGTTTTGCCACCAAATAGACAAGACTTTGGTGATTGTGAAGAGGCCAGGAACAGGGAGTGGGAACGGATAGGGAAGAGGGAAGCACAAAAAACAGGAGGTTTAACAGGATAGTGTTGATTTCATTTATTGAGCGGTATTTTATATATATATATATACAATATATATATATATATTTTTTATATATATAAAATGTTTCTTTAAAAAAAAATCTCTCCAGATTCATTAACCTTCAAACCTAACTAGTGGTTTGAGTCGTTAAGGGAAAAAAAGGAAAAGGAAGATTGAAATGGACTTAGTCTTTCATGACAAACAAGTTCATCTCAAGCAACAACCAAAGACTTGGTCTGACTCACCATGCACCTACATGCTTCAGAGAAGCAGAATGTGAAGCCTTTAATTCCTCTGGATGGATTCAAACGGCCCACCTTTTGGTTAATAGCTAAGAGCAAATGGTTTTTGCTCCCCCGGGATCTCTTCCATAAAGGTTACAGTCACAAAAACCGGAAGGAGTCATTCTACTCGCAACACACGGGGTCGCCGAAAGTTGGAATTGACAGCAATGGATTTGGGTTTCTCTTTTCCAGGACTAGGAGGCAGGAGAGAGTTTGGGCCCTTGGCTTAATGCCTTGGGATAAGACTCTGGGCTTCTCTTTCTTTGGATTTCAAACACAGGGATTCTACATATATGTCATTTTTCATACCAGATCCCAAGGAAGAGGA